AGTCAGCAAGCTCGGGATTTGATTGAAAGGTCCTGCCTTGGTGAATTAGGTGGAAGAGCAATCAAGGAAGATTCCCATTATCAATCTTGGTCATCCAAAAACACACCCTTGCACTGACACACACACACACACACGCCAAGATGCATACACATTCACAGGCACAGCACATACACACATGAAAACAAAACAAAATTTAAAAGTCAAGGCTGTGATTCATTGTAGATCTCTTTGTCTCACATACATAGGCCCTTGGTTGACCCCAGCAACCTCCTCTCACAAGAAACTAATTCCAGTGGTAACCCTACGCTCACACCGGACAGCAGCTGCCACCTGCCAGCCTCCACTTCCACACCCAACCAGATCACTCTGCCTAGTTGCCGCTTTTATATGAACCCCTCCCCTCCATCCTCTGCAATACCCTGACCTTCTAAACAATTTTGTTCAAATTTCACCTTAATGAATTACTTACCCAGGGTGAAATCATTATCTGCACTTCCTTTGGCTTCCACTAAACAATGTACATGCTTCTCCCCTAAAGTTGAACTGTTCCCATATCTGCCCCTAGACCATGCTCTCCCCTGGACTCTTGGTATATGTTTGTGTGACTTGCATTCTCCTACAGAAACATCTGGGCATAGTGGTGCATGCCTTTAATACCACCAAAGTGGAGGCAGAACCAGGAAGATCTCTGTGAGTTTGAGGCCAGCCTGGTCTACATAGTGAATTTCAGAACAGTCAGGGCTACATAATGAGATCCTTTTCAAAAAACAAAATGAACAAAAAAAAACTACAGAAATAAAAATTAGAGATCAATTCTAGAAATGATTAACTCAAGTTATGTTTTCCATAATCAGTTTTTGCCTCATAGCCAAAAAGCAGGAGACAGCATTTTAGAGACAATTCTAGGTTTCTTAGATATGATTATACCTAAGTATGATACTGCCATTATCATCACTGCCATTTTGAGATGAACAATTTCAAAATCTAAGAGGGATTTCAAAGTCTTAGGTTTCTGACTTGCTAAACTGGCCACTACATCTACAGCTCACCTGCTGTCCACTCTAGAAGGAAGTGAATAGTCACTGCACTGTGGAACTACCACCAAACACCTTCCACCGGCTACATTCAAAATAATCTATCTTCTGAAAACTGCAACACATTGGGAAAAGTCTATGTACCGACTGTATATTATAGTTCTGTAGAAAAACTGTATTTATTTGGGAAACATGCATGTTAGAGCATTTAAAGTGAAGTATCATAATTTCTGCACAGTACTTCCAAATGATGTGCCCAAGCATGTTTCTAAAAGAAGAGTAAAGCAAAGGAAGCCAAATAATAACCATAAGTGAATCTGTGGGGAAGGACTGGGGGTGCTCATTATACTAATCATTTAAGTTGTCCATAGATGAGAGATAATCAAGTCAAGAGATGGGAAGACAGGATGAGAAAATAAGTAGAACATCAGAAGTGAAGCCTAAGGACCATGGAGAGGGCTTTAGCCCTTGCTCTGTACAAATTCCTGGGCAGGAAAGTCAGTATCCCTCATAGGAGATATAAAACCAAAACACTAGACCTCGAAGAACTATAACCACCACAAGAGAAAAGAAACACGCTGAATATAGGCAGCATGAAGCAGAAATACTGGACCAGTATTTTAGGTAGCATAATAAATATCCTCCCACAGACAAAGGGAGACATTAGGAAAACTGATTAAGGAAACACACTTTTTAAGAAAAAAGTCAACTTTAGTCAACTGTTGACCAAGAATGGTGATAGACACCTGTACTAGGAAGGGAAAGACAAGAGGAAAAAGCAACCAAGGCAACACAGAAACCATCTGAAAAAGAAAGAACACAACAGAAGAAAAAAAACCACAATGAAGGACTGGAGAGATGGATCAACAGTGAGGAGAACCCAAGTGTGATTCCCACCACCTACACCTGTAAGTACAACTTCAAAGGATCACCCGAGTCCTCCCCCAAGCACCTGTACGCACACATGCATACCCCTAACCACACAGGCACACATAATTAAAAAACTAAAACAATAAAGCTTATAAAAAATAATGGTTACAAAAACAGAACACTGCATTGCATTGGAAGCTCAACAAGAGGAAAGTTCCACATAGAAGCAGCGAATTGCAGGACAGCGCAGAGACAGGGGAAATAAAAGCAGAGATCCAGACAACAGGAAACAGGCAGGAAAAGTTATTAAAGGGGATATTTTAAGAATATTGATCACTAGTTTCCTCAGAATTAAACACACACACACACACACACACACACATAGTCCATCTCACTCCAGGCAGAGTGGCTCTTTCCAAGAAAACAAATGAAAACAAATGCTGGAGAAAAAATACAAGGAAAGAACAACACTCAAGCACCGCTGGAGTGGATATAAATTGGTGCAGCCAATATGCAGAATGAAGGTTTTGCAAAAAAGCTCCCATATAAGTCAGCTATACCACTTCTGGATATGTACTTGAAGGAATGGAAATCAAACTTTGTATGTTTTGTTTAATGCAGCACTATCTCCAACAGCCAAATTAAGAAACCAGCCTAAGTGTCTGACAATATGTGAATGACTAAGGAAAACATGTACACAGTGGAGTTTTACTCAGCCATCAAGAAAAATGAAATTGTGTCAGTTACTGGAAAATGGATTGAACTGGAAATCACTGTGGTAAGTGAATCACACCAGACTCAGAAAGACCAAGTTCACATTTTCTTACATATGAAAAAAACCTAGATTTAAACTGATACATATACATGCATTTGTGTGTGCCATGAAACCAGAGAGAGGACCATGAGAGGGGAAGAGATCTGAAACAGAATGTTGGAGAAATAGAAGGTAATGGAATTCATATGACTTGAATATCAGAAGAGGAGACTGTTGGGGGAAAAGAATTGAACCATCAAGAGAGCAGGGGAGCAGGGGAGAACAGGGCCAAATTAGACAAAGTATAATAATGAAACACGTGTAAGACTACATACATCCAACCAACAAACTACTAAGTAAAACAACAGCAAAACCCAAGCCAGCCTCTCTGGTTCTAAACTATGCATCTTCATGGGGTCAGATTTTCTTCATCAATTTCTGACATCAGCCAAAATAAAATACTGAATATAAAAGCAGATATGAGACTATGGCATTTACCCAATAAGCTAGAAATAAAATAGATTTATAAAAATGCAAGAAAGTTACTTTTTTCAGGAAATGTTTTTATGCCTGAAAATTCTATTATTGTCCTAAGAAATGTCATTTACGTTCATGTGTATTAGTCTTGTTATCTTAAAGATTCAAAAGATATAGTTATGTTTAATAAAAGAAAGAAAATGACGTAGTGAAATCCTTTGCTTTTTATGTTAGCTTTAAGAATTGTTGAAAAGACTAAAGATACATAAGAACTGATATTGGAAGAGTTTAAAAAGAGGGGCACTGTGCTTTAAAAACTAAAACCTTTTTAAATGTGATCCTTTGTAATATGCATACCTAATAATATGCCCTCAAATATATAAGTAGTATTAAAATGCTAATAGAAGAGCGAAATAGAGACCAATCAACGAAGACTTAAATGTTTTACCCCTTTCAGAGACTCAGAGGCAAAGCATTTTATAAGAGCAAAACATGCAGCTCTAAATAACACATTCAAAATCTTCAAGCAAGTAAACACACAAATAGCTCCACACTGATAAGATTTTATAAATTATTTTTCACTATGTAAGAGAAAATAACCACACACTTGAATAAAGTCTCAGTAAACTGAAGGACTTGGTATCACAGAAATTATTTTCTCTGCACATAATATCAAAAGCCATTATAGAAACAAAGTTTCAACAAATTCACCTACAGATAGAGCTTGTTAAAAAGGAAAACATAAGGGAAAAATTTAAAGCTACACAGAGACAACTACAACAGCAAAATCACATCAAAAGTCTTAACTAGCTCCTGCACTACTAAGGGAAAATGGATACCTTCAGATACATACTTTTGTTTATTCTTTTTTAATGGAATAATGTTTATTCCTATTTTTATATTGGGGAAGATTTGTAAATCATATATATATATATATATATATATATATTAAAATAACCTAAACTTCAGTAATTAGGTATAATTAAAATTTTGGCTTATTTCCTTTTTCTCATGGTGTGAAAATACTTGCAAATCACTTACTTCTTATGAGTGTGCATGTATGTGTAGGCATGTACAGACGACTGTGTGTTTCTTTCTCTTTCTTTTTTCTTGAATTTTTTAGCTTTATTTACTTTATGTGTCAGTCTTTTGCCATCATGTATATCTGTGTGCCACATGACTGACTTGATGTCTGAGGTCAGAAGGGAACATGGGATGCCCTGTAACTGGAGTTACATATGATACGTGAGCCACATGTATGTGCTGGGAACCGAACCAGGATCCCTTACAGGAGTCACTACTGAGCATCTCTCCAACAACCTTCACCTCTTTTGGCACTGAAATGAACAGATACTTTCTTGAAAGCCACTTGAGCAAAACATGGAAAAATTCAAAAATATATTTGAAGCCCAGAACTATAGCTAAGTGGTAGAAACCTTGACTAGTACACATCTAATACACTCAAATCCTTGGTATTACCAATCTGTCCTTTTTCAAATATCCACCCAATGCCTGCTGTGCCCTCCAAATCCACATTCATGAAGGTCAAAATGATAAATTAAAACCTAAAAGAAAAGTCCCACCAGGAATTAGCACACTCACGTTTCTCATTTGGTAGGCTTGCCCAGTAAGCCTACCAAACCTCTAACCTAAGGACACCTTAAAAGAGATACCATGATTCCTTCATTAAACCGATGTAAAAAGAAATCAATAGACCCTGGAATCAAGCATCTCTCTCTTACCAAAGACTGGGCACTGTTACCTTCAGACCCTTCTATTCTGAAATCCATTTGTGTGACATTAACTACACCCTCTCTGTGTGATATTGAGACCCATAAGAACAAAACATATTTGATAACAAGTACCTGATAGGGTAGGTCAGCCATTCTTAAGTAGGTTTCCATTTTCAGACAGAAAGGAGATAAGCTGGGGACCCCATTATTAGGTCTTGCGAACTGATGTAAAATAATAGCATCCTTGGAGTCAAGCTCTTGCTGTTTCCTGTCAAAACCAAAACAGAAATAAAGAACAGCCTGCATGCTAGCTTTCTGTTGTTGCCTTAGGGCCTCAAGGGAACCCTGCAGGGTTGGAGTCCTCCATGAAGAAGCAGAAGTGTGTGTGCAGGTCTTACCTCATCCCGTGTTTAGAGAACAGAAGCATAGTGGACATGCAAGAGGTTCTTAAACACTCTGAAATGACTATGACCCAGTGGCTCTGGGAAGTCACTACAAATCAACTTGCTTCCATTACATGCAGCCTATGGGCAAGAGGATTACCTTCAGGTTTCCTCCAAGAGGAGGCATTTTGGGTTTACTGTGTGTTCCACCTGATTCTGCACCATTCTGATTTCATAGGTATTATCTCATTTAATTTTCAAAGCAACCTTATGATGTAGATATATTGCATATATTTTATGGATGCAAGTTCTAGAAGGTGAGCATAGTACGTCAGGCCCTTAATGCTAGCTCTCAGGAGGCTGAAACAGAAGGATCACACAGTTATGGCCTGCCTGAGCTACAGAGAATGCTGGGTACAGAGACAGTCACGTTGTTAGTACATTGCAGAACTGGACAGAGCCTATGTGCCTGCCTTATACAATACATTGGAACAGACCCTTCCCAATAAAATGAGGTGATAACTGGATGGGTATTCTGTGGCATGATGCATATCTACAGGGAGTCTGATACCAAACAGTCTGTTTATTTTTCTATATTGATAATCATCAGGATTAAATAAAACAGTATCTGTAAACATTTAGTAAGCTATTAAGCACTAAAAGTGTGGAGGAATTTATTCTCACATGACAAGATATGGCCTTGTTCACATACAAACTCTTCCCAGTTCACCAAATCTGACTCAATAAACTCCACAAAAACCTATTACAATTCCATCTTTTTGTCTGCCTAGCTTTTCCTAGTCAGAGGAACTCCATTTTCAAGGCTTGACCCTCCCTAAGCTTCTACTTTCCTCTACACATTCCAGCTTAATTCCGCACCGACTTCTGGCCAAGCAGGCATGGCTTGTCACCTTTACTGCATGGAGCTCAGCAGCTTCAGCATCTCCACTTCCTAAAACAAGTTCTCTTCAGGTTCACCAGCCAGGGGCCTAGTCAATTTAAAGAACCAAGAATGACTCATTCTGAAACTATAAGCCAAAAAATTAAAATATTTACTATAAAACAAAGGTTTTCCTTTATAGGAAATGTGTGGGAGGGCATGTATTAAAATCCAGGACTTATTTGGACTATTGGTAGACAACACAAACTCTTCAGTTCACAACTGACTTTACCCAGTAAAATAATCCACAATACAGGGTAGTGTTTTTGTGTAAATTAGCAGGGCAAATTTTAAGAACTAAAAGGCGATAAGTATGAAATCCTCTGCCCTACTGGCCAGAAGAGTTGAATTCTAAAGATTCACTTAGGCATCTCATAGTCAAAATAGACGCTGGTCAGGAGCCAGCGTGCTAATGACTTTATAGACATGATCCATATTAGCCTACTTAACTCTGATAATAGCACTCTAAAGTGGGGACTCTTAAGGTTTAAATTTGGGACACCACTCTAACATTTTATAGTAGATAGGAAACTTGAAAGTCAGAATGTAATTTGCCCAAGGAACACCAATTTCGGATCAAGTCGGTCAGGCCAAGCCTGGTGGTAGACCCCAGCTATTCAGAAGGCAAGAAAACTACAAGTTCAAGACCAGCCTAGGCAACTGAGCTAGACCATGTCTCAAAAACAAAAACAAAAAAAGGAAAGAAAGGAAGGAAGGAAGGAAGAAAGGGAGGGAAGGAGGGAGGGAGGGAGGTAGAGAGGAAAGAAGGAAGGAAGGAAGGAAGGAAGGAAGGA